CTGTCAGGCGAGGCCTGGTTGGACTTGAACCAGTGACCTAAAGGTAAAAGGCCCTGATGTAGGGCTCTCTTTACAATAACTGGCCTGCCTGGGCCCCATGATGCCTGCCTGGCCCAGCGCTCTCTCTTGGATCTGCCCACGTGTTTTCCTCGGCCAGCTGAGTTTTGGTTGGATTCTAATTTAGCATTTGAGGCTGACTGGTTCATGTTCTAGAACTTGTGTGCTGGGGGAATGGGAAATGGAAGGCAGAGGGGCAGGGCCTGTTTGACTAGCCTGGGTCCAAAAGGCACAAACTCCTCTCAGGCTGGGTGCCTGGCCCTGGCCTTGGGACCTTTACCCACGCAGAAAGGCCAAAGGGATGGCCCCCAAGGTGAAGGCCACGGCCGGGAAGTGCGTCTGGAGGGGACAGAAGTCTAGGCGCTTTGGGTCTCAACTACTCTGGCATCAAAATTATCATAATTTTTACTGATTGTTTTCATTAAAAAAAAAAGTGTCCTTTCGGAGAATCGGTAGATTAATATGATGATTCCCACTCATTGAACGATAATTAAGAGTCACAGCCTGCTTTCCAAAAGTAGCGTTTCCTAATCCAAAGACGTCTGTCCTCCAAAACCAGAAAAGCGACCTGGAGGGCTCAAGGTTCACCCACTGTTCCATGAACGTTTATTGAGGTCCCTGCTCTGAGGCAAGCATTCTGCCAGTTATCAGGGCTGCAGACATTAAACAAAAAGGGTCCCCACTGAAGAAGTTGATCATGCTGGGGAGGGGAGTGGCATGTGGATAATGATAATTTGGTACAACCTGGTAAGTGATAAATTAGCATGTGAAGGCATCTTCATACAATTGGAAACCACGAGCTGTGTTTCACGAGGGGGAGGAGGGGGATGCGGCGGGAGCCTGCGAATGGAGAGTCAGTGGTGCGGGGGGCTGGGGAGGGGAGCCGAGGCGCTGGCCCAGCGGGCCATCCAGGGGGAAATCCAGACTTCACCGCTTAGAAGCACTGGCACCTGGAACGTGGTCTCTTGAAGCTTCCATTTTCTCACCTGTAAAGTGGGAATAATGACAGCAATGTCCAAAATTGTCATGAGGGTTAACTGGGCTAATTTCTGTAAAGCGCTTAGCAGAGCTCCCGACCCATGGGAGGTGATTAACAGATGTCAGCAAAGGGCTTCCGGGATTGAAGAAGGGCGTTTCCGGAGGGAAGAAGAACACTAAGGAAGTGGGATGCCTGGTAAGACAGTGGCAGTGCGATGAAGAAGAAGGACGGAATCACGGAGAGGTTTTGCAGATAGAATCAAGGGAATTTGCTAACTGAACATCAAAGTGAGCTCTGAAGGCTGAAGGGGAGGACACTAGGCCTGGTTGCTATGCCAACATAGGAAGCAGGTTTGGGGAGGTTGCTATGCCAACAGAGGAAGCTGGTTTGGGGAGAATTGAGTAGAGGGAAAGAGGTTATGGACTTTTCCTCTAGGGCATGTTGGTTAGAGGGGCCTTGAGGATACCCAGGTGGGAATGTCCAAATGAAATTGCAAATGTGAGCTGGAGCCGCAGATCGGGGAGTCCTTGCCGGTTTACAGAAGGTGACTGACACCGTGGGAGGGGCTCCAAAGTTCCCACCCCTGGTGGGAAGAAAGGCAGGAGACCAGAATTCCTGGAAATATGACATCAGAGGGTTGATAGGGAAGAGGGGTCTGCAAAGGGGACAGCCAGCTACTCCAGGGCCACGATGGCACTCAGTGAGGTAGAAAGAGGATGGACACAGTCAGGACGTAAGGAGCGGCCTCTGGGAGGGCCGTGACCACAGAGTGCCTGCTCCGGGGACAGCCGCCCGGCCTGCTCTTCTCCGACAGGCGTCAGTCAGTCACAGTCGCTGAGGAGGAGCTTGGCCTGTCAGCTGCGTTTTCACAGCTCTCAGCCGGACTCAGGCCTTTGGGGGCGGGTTGGGCAAAATTACCATGAGGAGTTCTTTGGAGTTGGCAGAAAAAGGCAAGACCCGGGCAGCAGGGGTGGGCTGGGAGGGCCTTTCAGTCGGTACTGGAAGCCAGGGAAGGCTGCAACCATCTTAAAATTCAAAATCAGGTGTTTTCATTAACTGATGAAGTAGAGAGACTCCTGCCCTGGTCACTTCGTGACCTCTCTAGTGACCTGTAACGAACTTGGTAATAGATCTTTTGCATAGATTAGAAAGTGTGCAGAACAGACCCTGGCACCCGAGTGCACGTGTCCGGCACCACGCATGCACCTGGTTGACCCAGGTGCCATCTGTGTTGAACAGTAGCAGTGGCTGCCACTTACTGGGTTATTACCAAGTGCCTGGCACTGTGACAAACTGCAGGGATTCTCTCATTTGATCCTAAAAACAAACATACGATGCGATGCAATTGTCACTTTGGCTTTTTGAGCAGAGAAGTGAACTGTACACATGATATTTTGTGTCGTCTTCAACGCACACAGGACTTCTTGGGTATGCAGCTGGGGTACCGCTGAGGGGGCGGGGCATTGTCAGAAAGCACCACATGGGAGATGATGACAGCAGAGGGTCCCAGGCTGGGAAGTCCTGGTAAACGTTTAGTGGTGGAAAAGGTGCGAGACGCGTTCTAGCCACGTTGGCAAAGCCAGCCCAGGACACCACAGGGATGACACGTAGAATCAGACTCCAGGGTTTCCAGCTGTGAGCCCAAACGGAAGCCGTTGCAGGGATCTCAAATGTGGACTAGCCAGCAGCAGGGAAATGCCTGCATCCTCGGGCTGAGGCCGGATCTGTTTATCTGCATGCTCTCTTGTCCCCCGGTGGGCCCCGAAGCCTGGTGTACGACAGAACCCGAGGCTCCTTCCTTCTGGTTGCCTGGAATTTCTGAGATGGGAGATTTTCATTCGGTCCACATAAGGGGAGAACACCTCCTTTATCAAAATCTCAGCTGAAGAAATCGGAGTTTAGAATTGTTGCCGGTGTCCAGAATTTCAGACTATGACAACATAAGATCTTGTACGGAGCACGTGGCTTCAGGGTTGTGGAGGAGTCTATTTAGCGAATAGTTGTGTGGGCTCTGGAGTCAGGAAAATCTGACTCCCAATCCCAACTGCACCACTTAAGGGTAGTGAGGCTTGCATTCACTATTTACTTTTTTGGCCTTAGTTTCCTTATCTCTACAATGGGGATAATAATGGTACATCTCCTCTTAGGGCTGTTGAAAGAATCAAATAAAAACCTGGCTAATGAACCTAGTAAGACCTCTAATGCAGAGGCATAATGGATTCGCTGGTGTCATCTCACGAGAGCCTGTTTGGGATCAGGCTGGTGCCTTCTCGCGAGAGCCAGTCCCGAGCATCCCTTCCTAACGCCACCTTTAGGAACAGGGTGTTGCTCTCTTGAAATCGCCAGGAGGGGCGAGTGTACACCACCGAGCATTGAATATTAGCTACTCGGCTGCAGTCCTCTAGTCTGACTGAATACAAGTTAACTTCGACTCGGACGTAATGGTGTTTGAAGAATTCCACGTTCTGTGGGAAAAGTCTCCCACCCCGCTTTCCAGGAGCTTCCACTCTTACCATCTCATGCACAAAATCCCCACTTATGACTTAGTGCCTTTATTGCTGGAATGTTTTCTTTACTCTCCCCTGTATCACTTCTTGGTGGAGGTTGAACCTTTTATTTATCCTCCCCCCCCGCCCCCGGCAAGAAAGCTCTGGTGTAAAGCAGATTTTTACTAAAGGCTTTTGAGGGGCGTGTTTTAGAAGGAGCCAGTATGGAAAACAACATGGAGGTTCCTCAAGAAATTAAAAATAGAACCACCGTATAATCCAGGAATCTCACTTTTGGTATCTACATGTCTAATTAGAGCTCTCAAATTTTGAAGGTTCATGTCCTGCCTATTAAGATAACAATTTGGAAAAGCAACATTTTTGTGGCTACTTCTCTGAGCCAGCCACTGTGTTAGGCACGGTGGAAAAACAGAGATGAGGGCCATGCCGAAGGGGACAAAAATGGAAAGTGACAATCAGACAATGCAAAGGTCTCAGAAGACCGAAGAGACACCTTCCGAGGAAACAACATAAGGGCCAGCCTGGCACTTGCTGGGAAGCAGGAGAGCCACTTGGGTCGGCTGTACAGACAGCAGAGGATGGCTGAGCTGAGAGAGCAGAAGAGGGGCTCGAAGGCACGGAGTTCAAACAAAGCAACTTGCTCATAAATGCCGGGTTTGGAAAAGGCGTTCGGAGGTTTCGTTTTTTCTATCCCTCAAAAGACTGACTGGGGTGACTACAATTCAGATCACCTAAAATCTCACTTCTGTTGGGTGTGTTTCTCTTGGTCCTCCACTCCTATGCCAGGAACACATGTTTCTAACAAAGAAGTGAGGGCTGTTTCTGGGTTGTAAAATTTTGGTGTGGTGAAGGTGCTGAGAGGGGTACCTGGGAAGGCTGTTTAACCACAAATGATATAACAGTATATGGGTGAATCAGGATAAATCTATAGATACTTTGAAGGCACTGTGACTGCATCTGGAATTAAGTTAAAAATAAGACACAGGTTCTCTTGTGATTTCTGAAACAACTCTTCGTTTAATCATAGAATTCTTTTCATCTTCCATTCATCATAAATAATCCACCTCATTACTTTACCAATCCTTTTGAAAAAATTTGGTATTTAGCATAAACAAACACTGAACATTAGCCAGAGGTGTGTTAGTTTTAAACAGAATAGGAAAGAATTTTTAAAAACCCACAAAAGTTTAAAACTTAGAAAAGAACATATGAATAGATTAACATTATCACCCACTACAAAAATCAAATTTTATAACAGCCATTAAAAAATCTGGTGGAAAAATGGGTAAACATAAATATAATCTAATGTATTTCTTTCATAAATACACTTAGTCAAAACATGCATAAAACAGATAGCTTGACAGTGCATAAACGTAAGAAAGTATTTTAAGACATGAATAATTAAATCCCAATAAACATGAATTAAAAATAAATTTTGATACTTTTTTGTTCTTTATGGAAAAATATGCCACAGCATTTGTGTAAAAAAAAAAAAGGCATAAACATATCATTAAAGCCAACAAAATTCACCAGGTAAAGAAGATTATTTGAAAACAAAACGTTTTTTAAAAGCAAAAGGTGTTATAGTATTTTCAGTTGAATGTTATTCCATAATCACACACCTACTATAGGTGCTTGATAATAGAGGTAGATAAGTTGGGGGAAAAAAATCAGCATTCAAATGATAGCTTTTATGATAACTCAGACAGACAGTTTCATTTACTCTGAAATTCATAGAGATTTATAGGAACAAAACATGAAAACCTTTCCTATGCTCCAAATGTAAGCATCCAAAGCATCAAGCAGAATTATTGTAGTTGCAGACACAAGTGAAAGTCTTGACAACAGAAATTCTTGCCAAACAGCCTGCTTAGCGTAGACTTTTTTTGCAGGATCTGGCACTAGCTTTAAAATTGACACTGAGGGTAATTCTTCTGAAATTTACGAGATTCAATGATATTGAAATGAGTCAGAAGAACCACAAGATGTGACCTGGTATACATTTACACTACTGATAAACTTGGTAGGTTTCTAAGGAATGATTTTTCTTCTGTTGATGGAATAACAACGAAACAGCTGTCGAGGACAGAGCGTGGCCTCAGTGAGACCCAGGACGCCAGTATCGTCTGTCAGATCAAGAAAGGAGATGGAGAGACGATGTGACAGAAGAGTGTGCAGCAAACGGAGGGAAGGTGTCCCCTTAGTTCTCCATGTTGCTTTATTCTCTGCTAAGGTCCAGTGAGAGCTCTTCCAGCCACAGCACGGGCAAATATCGGATACTCTTGAAAGCTGAAGCCCACTTGGGAACTAATTCTACTTGATATTTTGGTTAATGAATGGTTTTGCATTTTCTGTGCCCATGTTTATTCCATTTGGCTAGAAAGCACGTGTATCTGTAACATTTGTTCGCATCTATGACCTTTATATTTCCATTTATTCATGAGAGCAATATGACTTAGTTTTTTTAAAAATGTCGCAAACATTTGTCAAATCTGCCAAGGAAATTCTCATTAGTAACTTGTCTCAAATGCCTTAAGTGTGCTTAATTCAAGGATGTCATAGGCCGCTTCTGGCTAAAAGGGGCAATTTGTGCTCAGCACATCTGTGTAACAGGAAAAAATTGTTATTCTCAACTGTGGAATGTGAATACAATCCATCCTTAAGTTGCTGCTCTCAAACTGATTATCACCTTTTAGTGTTTCACATTCGGCTGTTATGAGTTTGCAAGTGTGTTGGAAAACAGGAAAACAGGAGAGAAAAAGAAAAAAAAATATGAAAGATATTTTTAAAAATCCTAACAACCAAATCCTGTAGTTTACCTCAAAACTTCACTTAATTTGCTCCTAACTCAAACATCAGGCCTTTTCTTTGAGGCAGCTTATAATAAACTTAAGACATAAAATATCACAATCTCTTATCATGGAACAGAGGAATTTCTGTGTGGAAACTATTTGAAGGAATGTCTATAAAAATGATGTCAAGGAATGCAGATAATGTATGCTTCTCAACATCTATTCAGTCTATGACCCCTGCTGAGTTGATAAGAGGCATGTCACAGTTGTAGGAAAAGAATCTCGCAGTGAATCAAAGTACTTGTGAATCAGACTTGGAAATTTTCACTGTCATCAGAAGAGCATTTTTCTGATGGTGTGACCTCATTTCGAGCAGTACAGTCACTCTGATAGAGTTGTGTTGCACAAAGGTGCGGCTTTTGTCACTTATGATGACTGTTCCCTGCGTTAGGAAAAAAAAAAATTAAATAACTCCAACATACTGGACCACCCCTGGCACTAACCAACAAAGTAGGTTTGGGAAATAATGCTCTTGTCAAATACATTTTTTAAGGCACTTCAACAGTTATATCATTTTTGTGTAAAAAAATAAAATATTCATTGAAGCAACATTCACAAGTACAAGTCTTCAGAACTATTTGTACATCCTGTACATATGTACATCGCCGCAGAACGAGCACTTCCTTCGTTATACTGTTGGCCTCGTCAACGTGACTCCCTACAAGAGAGGAAAACATGTAGTTTATAGCTGGACAATGTCTGTTAGCCAGTGAAAGTGTCAGTTAACGCCAGATCATTTATGCTGCTAGAAGGAAGAAGAGGCCTGCCCAGATGGCACTGCATAGCCACTGGTCCGAACCTCTGGGGACACACAGGTCGCCTGCCCACCTCCCTGGCCAGCAGACTGCCATCTCCCCCAGCCTGGCCTGGCTGTGCACTAGATGTGGCCCTGGGTCTCCATCGGTGCTGTTTGCAAAGCAGTAGTGGAGACCCTTACGATGGATGCTTTGTGTTTATTTTTGTGCTCAAATGGGATGGATGACATTCTAAGCTTTCCGGATTTTTCTAATTTGGACAGTGGCCCCCAGGTCTGGAGTGGTTTCTATGCAAAGGGAAAATGAACAGCATTGTCCAATTTCGTCTTCCCTTTGGAAGTGCGACTGTTACTCTGTAGAATAAATCCCAGCACTTTGACACATTTAGAAGAAAATTTCACTCTGATTAATTTGCTGTTCATTATGACTGCATTTTATGGCTAGGGTATTAGGATTTTCAAATAATTTTCTTCATTCTTTGTCAAAATTTATATGCACAAATTCTGGTCTGTAATGCACATATACACACGAATAAATATAAGCATAAACATAAATAAAAGTTTTCAAAAAGGATAAATAGTAAAGAAAAAGGTACTGAATTGCTTCCTCTACCAACTCCACGTGGGAGGACCAGCACCTGGGGTCACACCCTGCTCTTAAGGACACTTACTGACATTTTGTTACACTAACATACCCTGAATAGCATTTGCTGACATTTTATTAAATGAGTGACCGTGTTGGGTGCATTAACCTTTCCAGGCGGGATCCTGGGGCCCGAGGGCGTTCCTTCGAAAAGCAATGTTGTAAATCTATCTGGATGTCCTCATGTGTAGGGGAAAAACTTGGGGGTCAAAGAGACTAGGGTTCAGTCCCAGCTCAAGCACTGACTAAAGCACCCACGTACCTTGGGCAAGTTGCTCAGCTCTCTGAGCCTATTGCCCAACCTGTGCAATGAGGGTAACAGAACTGGCTACAGACAGTGTTGGAGCTACTAAGGAACAACAATGACAGTAATGACAATCACAGCAAGTAGCTTTCGTCAAACATCTGCCATATACCCTTCCACAACTGCAAAGAGTAGATATGATCATCAGTCTCAGCGTGACAGAAACTGAGGCAGAGAAGATGATGTGCCATCTGCCTCTCCAAGGCCATCAGGGAGAAGGAGGCAGAGCCGGCAGGCTGGCTCGAGGGTCCACACGCTGGACCAGGGAATGGTTGGGAGGAGCTCCGCACCCAGACTCAACCGGGGGTAGCGTGGCTGTTCTGTTTTCACACACTGAGGACACAGCGAAGGGCCTTCTGTCCCTGGCGGCCTCTTCTTCCTTCTCATCTCTTGGTAACACTCACAACAGTGTCCCGAGGAATGAGGTCCTGGGAGTCTGAGCCCCGGCAAGGAGCCTGCTCTGCGGGTGCATCCGTGGCACACGCAGCACCGCGGCTTCTTGTGAATCAGCCACCTTATTGCCCTTGGGCTGATAATTTAGGAAATTAAGTCCACAAATACCAAATCAGTACAAGACTCTGAGTTAAGGGGGGAGGTATTGATACTGTGTGGGCACCTCTGTTCCTGAAATTTTATTTTTTAATGCCAAACACATAGCTTTGCTATGTGAAGATGTTCTTATGTGCCTAGAAAATTAAAAATGAAGTAGGCATCCTAATGAAAGCCAGGAGCCACCATATTTAGAAAGGCAGCAGGTAAAATCAGGACACACGTGAGAGGTCAAGGGAGGCCATGACGGTGTGTGCCTCGCTGGAGGGATGCACATGTTTTGAGTGTGTTTCCTGAACCTTTACCTCATTGCGGCATGCTCTTCAATAAGAGCAAATGAAAAAGAGCTCTACAAACTGCATTTTAAGTATAATTGTACTTTTATAGCAATACAAAACACTTTACACTCAGCCCTCCTGTTCAAATTGTAATGGAGCAATGCATCATCATTACTGGATTTCGTTAAGAAAATATGGGCTTTGAGAATGAGAATATGCTAGCAAAAGTTAAAGCGTATAAAGAGCTAAGATGCAGTAGTAGCATTTCAATCTGATTAGAATTCAAATAAGATCTTTCTAGTCTCACCTTCTGCCTTGACACCATCCAGGACTTTATGGTTGGCACCAACACACTCCCCAGGAGGATCTGGACTGGGTGGTAGATGAGCAGAGGTACGGATATTAAAGAGAGGTGCTCGTGGCCAGCAAACACTATCTTCAGCATTGGAATTCCTGGTGAATGAAGAAGACAGGAAATTGAGAGGCGAATTCGGTCTGTCATCAAAGTAAACACATTCTCTGTGAAAACTGGAAATTTGGAAAAGCTCCTGGCCATATTCCCCTGTGTGTATTCACAGAACTGAAAAGGCAAGGTCTCCAATGAGTCATCAAATCTGTTCATCTTCTGTTCACTACAGAAGGCTCTCAGCTCTACCTAGAGCCGATTAAAGCTAAAAAGGTGGCCAGTATTTGAGGGCACCAATAACCCCTGCTGCAAAATAGCAGCCTGCCTAACAAGGAGGAGAAGAGGGTGTGGAACAGAGCTGCTTCAAGAAGGTGAAAAAGAGCAGAGCGGCCAAAGTTCAAAGTGAATCTTTTCTTGCTTAGTCACCGTCTGCCGGCCTTTAGGGAGACCAGCCCGCACCCCTCCAAAGCCCCAGAGTTCACTTCTGAGAGTCAGAAGGATACGGTCAGATAATGTAGGGCACACACTGCTGTAAGCAGGAGGGTACTTCAGCCAAAGGAACATTTAATAAAGGCTTTGCGTGTTCTCATCCGGCCACGGGCCTCAAAGCGCTGTGCGCAATGTGAATGGCAGGGGACCAGTAAGGTTAGTGCTGAGTGTTTAAACCCCATGTTGGTGTTCAGCGGAACATGGATAAGCAACTGCTGCTTCCTTAGCACACCGCCCTATCACACTGAGGGCAGGGAGTGCATGTTCTGTAAGCGTCTGACTACAGTGGGTTCCTATTAAGCTTCCATAACACAACTCACGCGCTGGCAGTTTAACTGTTATTACCGATTGTTTTTATGTGGCCCGGTTGTCAGAACTGTTGTGTACGTGTGTCAGCTTTTTCAGCTAAATGGCTTTAATAGCTTAGCTTTCTTCTTGTTTCTTTGAGAACAGCCTCTGAAAAGGACCCAAGAACCTAAACGTGCGCAACGATGGCACATCAATAACTTTTTATTAGAACCCTGTGAGGGAAAGCCCTGCCTTTCCAATTATTTGTACCTTCTAATAAATTTCAAACTGTTATGCAAAAGTGTATTTCATGGCCTGCTTTCTTTTTCACAGCCTCACACATCACTGCCATAAACGGAAATGCTTCACTCTTCCCAAACAAGGTCTCTGTTGCAGCTTTGAAAGCACACACTTAAGAGTTTTGCACAGCTTCTGTCTTTTCACTGATATAAAAAACAAAGGAGTTTCTTAAAAAAAAAACAAACAACAAACAAACAACCAAAAACAGCATGTTGAGAAGCGCCATCTGATGCTCTAGCCCTGGAAAGTGGTTGCGATGAGAAAATAAGACGACACGAACGCACTCCTCCTGTTTCCGGGAAAGATTACTTGGTCCAAAGGGATGATGCTGAGGAGCTGGTGGAAAGAGGTGAGATAAACGTGGGGCTACAGGGAGCAAATGATAGAAGTATGGAGATGTTTGTCCCTAAAAATGATCAGAGCAGGGGTTGCTGACCCAAAATGCGAGGACCGCGGCCGCTGGGCTAAACCACCTGCAGTGTCCTTTCTGGGCTAAGACTTGGGCTCTGTACCACTCAGCTGACATGGGCACAGAGGGGAAGCCAAGGGGACAGTCACAGGGCTGCTGCTATGGTAAGTAAACAAGAAATCGACTGCAAGATATACAAGGTATCTTACTGTGAGTGACATCAGAAATCCACCTGCATGGGATGCGATGGCAGCAACAATGCTAATACTGGTTAGTGCGTAGTGAATGCCTACAGACGTCATGTGCTGTCTGTCATGTGCTTTCTTGCAGTAACTGACGTAAGCCCCGTAATGACCCCGGAAGGCTGATGAAAGGTACTGTTTGCACCATTTACTCATGAGGAAATGGAGACTCTCCCAGGTGGTGAAGTCCGAGCTGCAATGCAGACAGCTTGCACCTCCAGTTGTCTGCGTCAGGTTAGATGTTGGAGGTCTTCAGCTCAAGACGCTATGGGGACTGCCACCCCGGGAAGCAGAGGAGGGCCTGGTATGCAAGATGCTTTCTAGGCCTGAAGTCCTTGTGGAACTCACTCTCCTCAGAGGGTGTTCCTGTGACTTCCCATGGGTGAGGAGCTAGTAACTGCTGGGGCTACCCCAACAGCGGCAGTGGAGACAGATGAAATGATGAGCCAAGGCTTTGCCCTCAACAAGCTTCCAGCTACAGGTGACCTTCTACCTGCTCTGGACCCTAATGCTCTAATCGGGAGGAAGGTCTCTTCTGGCTGGTGCTGGTTCTTCAGCTCTGGCTTCTCATTTTCCAACACAGCCTTCTGCCCACTGCATGATGAGGGGCTGCGACTGCAAATATCCCTCCTCCGCACCAGCCAGCAACTGCACCTTCAAGGGCACAGCAGGAGTAGCTCCAGGGAGAGCGCACTGGACCCCCCTCAGAGGTTGGAGCCCCCATGGCCTCCTCCAAGCTTCTAGATTCAGAGAACCCCAACTTCTTCCTTCTGTCCCTTCCGCTCACCCCCAGCTCTGGCTACGTCCTGCAGTTACTACTCCTTCGTTTCCTCACTGTCCCCAGTCCCCTGTTTCAGTGTTCAGCGCGATCTGCTCTGTCCCCTACGGAAGGGTGGTTTGTGTTTTCCGACGGACCCTGCTCACGCAGCCCTTTCTCGCTTGGCTGTGCGTTCCAGCTGTGCTTGTGGAAGGGGAGGGATCCGTGACGACTGCTGCAGACATCTGCCGAGTGAAACAGAGATTTCTCCTCGCCACTTTCTGTACCTCCTTGTTAATCGTTAATCAAATTCTCTACCACCACTGCTCCAAGTGACTAATGGTAAAAATATGATTGAAAATAATAAATCAGAGGGGGGAAAAAACACTTTAGCTTTCTAGAGCCTGGGACCCTCTTCCTTTTGATGTGTCCTTGCTTGTCACTGACATATGGTGGATTCGTAAGTCAATCACTTGGCTGGGGAGGGGGGACTCCAGCGACTGAAGTCCTATGTTATTTGTTTCAGGAACCATGATTTTCTTTCAGTCTTAAAATCCACCTTACTTTTCAATCATTTGATTAGCTACTTTTCTTTTCAAACAGAGTTTCTTCTCAATCCCCTATTTATCTCAGCCTTTGCTGCCCTCCAATTTCTCCCCCACTTCCCCACCCTTCCCCCATGCTACATGGCAATCCTACAGAAGCAGGGGGTTTAACCTCTCTGTCCAGGGCATCTTCGCCACAGGTACAGTACTATCAGGATGACAGTCACAGAGGTTGGGAACCTGTAAGAGCCAGTGCACTCACCATACTCTGATTTCTGACACGTGGTCAAGACTTCGGCAAGATTTGATTTTCAAGCCAAATCAGAAAAAATCAGCTGTAGTTTTCATTCCAGAAACCTATGTGACGCACCACCCTTTCATCCTCTTCACTCATTTAACAACGCACTTGATCATTCATTCATTCATTCATCCATCCATTCAGCTGGCGCTCACGTAACTGATGAACTACTCCGTGGAAGGGCAGGCATGCCAGAGGTGGGTGGGATGTGACATAACCTTTCATTTAAGTCTCTTACTGGCACCTTGTGACCACTCACCTCCTGCCCAACACCTTCCTTCAGCACACAGTCAGCTCTCAGCGGCACTCCCCCGACTATCTCCAAACAGCTTGTCCTGGCCATGCCATTTCCCACTCTGTGACCAGTGACGAGTGTTGAGCACAAATCGGATTATGTCAAATCATACAGGAGTTTACCATGCAGCACAAGAACCTCCATGACCTGGCCCCCACTCCCTGTAGGTCTTACCACCCTCCTGCTTGTACCTCTGGGCTCCAGCCAAGAAGGGCATCTGTGCTTCCTCCTGCGCCAGCCGGGCCCACGTGCCGGACCCGTGCGCTGTCTCTCCTGTGGCCATCACACTTGAGCTCCTTTTGCCTAGAATGACCATCACCCACTTCTTGACCAGCTCAATCTTTTAGCCCTGAGTTCTTAAGCTGCCTCCTCTGGGAAGTCGTCCTCAAAGTCCCAAGGCCTTTAAATCTTCCTACTGTATGCTCACCTAACACGGGGCAATTCCCACCTGGTGTCCTAGCACTTGGTGTAACCGCCTGATGCTTGTGTGGTTTACTCACTAAACATTAAGATTCTCAGGGTTGGAGACTATTACTTCTTGAGCAGCAGGTGCTCAAAGGAGAGCACTGAATGAATGGGTTTGTATTTTTCCAGGTCTCATTGTAAAGTTACTGTGCTATGACTCCATTTTTATTACATTCGTTAACTAGAAAAAAAGGGCAATGATTTAAAAAAAAAAGTTACTAGAAAGAGTTTTCTTTTAAAAGTAAAATTTAAATACAGGACTCTTTTCATCTGGCTATCACTGCAGTAATACAAATGAAGGAAATTAATTTTAATGCTCCCAGGTACCGATTCTGTGTCACCATGGTTGACAGGATCCAACTAGACTTTATGAGATGGCATTTGACTTTATGGAAGTGAACACGAGGCATGCATTTACAATTTTACAGGGACTTTAAGCTGTCATGCTGAAAAATGTTTATAAAACATTAATCAAAAATGCCTCTTTAATACAATGCATTGTCTGAAAGATGTTAGAAGGCGCATATTGTAAATGGATTCTTTTTCTGACTAAAGTAATTTCTACCAAAAGCATTTCCCCACTGCTCTGCAAGTACACTGTGTGGACAGATAAAGAGCACTTTCCCTGCACATTACTACCTGATGCAAACACTGGGGACATCACTGATGTACGGCATGCCATCTTTCTATGTCACGCATGACACATTCGTCTCCAATCAGCCAACAGAGTCTGACACTGCGGCAGCTTCCATAAGCGCAGCTTTCAACTGACATCTGCCCAGTAGGAACTTCAAGTGCGAGCTTTCTTCTTCTAACAAGCAAGTAAGGGGTTTCTTTTATCCTTTGCTTTTATTCTTTTTTCCCAGGATGGAAAGGATAAAACAATCCGTACCAGAACAGGCTCCCCCCGCCCTCCATTTTAAATATGTTTATTTTATGTTCTCTGAATTAAAATATTC